CCTACTCATTAAGTTTGATGAGATACCATTTGCACTCTACCATCCAGGAGTGCACCACTGTCTGATATAATTAGTGTTCCTCCAATTAGGATAAATGGCTGTTTCATTACTTTTAAGTGGGTCATTAAAGTGCCATTCCTGTCTCATGCCTCTGGAACTGACAAGGGTACCTGCTCACTCCTTTTCTCAGTCAAATCTAATTTCAGAAGCCTAATGGAGAGGTAATGTAACAGGGCAGATGTTGCTTGTGGCTCCTGCTGAGAGCCGTTTCTGGGTAGATGATTTCCCTGTTTGCTTGATACTCGGATGTACTGACTAGAGAGAAGTATCTGTTTGCTGTGGCACCTTTTGAAGAAACTCCTGAAGGGATCAAAATACTGGAAATTATTTAAAATATATATTAATCAGCTTCTGATTTCCTCTTATGACTGTGGAAGTGCTCAGTTGTCACAGGGAAAACACAGAGATTGTGGCTTTTCCAGGGCAATCCTTGGACCCTTGTTTTTGTCATCCTCACATTCATCCACAAGGATGTCCTCTCTCCAGGGGTCATGCTATTTGCTGGCCACCTGAAAGTAGCAGCCTTTTTTCTTTCTAAAAGAGGCCTTGCAATTCCTGAATCATTAGATACTGCAATGCTATAAACATCACTTTCTGAGAAGTGGAGGGCAGGTTTCTGGCTCGCACCAGAAAATTATGACTCACATGTTGGGGAGGGATAGAGACATCTTTTTTTGAGAGAGCTGAGAGCATAGCAGTCCCTTTCTACTAACTTCCCCTTTTTAGATGTGGTATCCTAAGCAGCTACATGTTTTAAATATGCTTAAGGCCACATCTGCAGGAGAATCATCTTGGTAATTCTGGACACTGCAGGTCAGAAGCCGGTCCAGGGCTGAGATCATCTGATTCTGCCTATCAAGATCTAATACTGTTTTCAAAATGTTTTGAGAAGGGCTAGGATTTTGGAAAACAAAGTTTATGCTTTTTGCTGTGGGATTAATCTACTCAAGATGTAATACTTTTTTTTTTTTCTAACTAAAGACTTTAAACTCCTTCAGTATCTTTCCATTGATGGATCCTGGTCAGATCTTTCCTTAAAATGTAAAAAGCCCGTTTGTTTTTCTCTGCATTCTTAGGTTTTTTTTTTTCTCTAGTCTTCTCTGTTTTCCAAGCCCTTTTGTTTTCCTCTGGCTTGTTTTCCTGGTTCTCCTCTTACCACAACATAATTGTGTAAAACACCTCCTCCCCAATTCATCCAGCTTACAGCCATCTAGATATTTCTCTGGCTCTCATCTCAGGTGACTCATCAAAGCCAAAACACCCATTAATCAGTCACCATCCTAATGATTAGGTTTGTTTCTAGTAAGTGTATTAGTACTGAAGAAAAAAAATGTTTGTAGATGTTTCTCCCGTCGTCCTCAAAGGCCAGGCAGTCTGCAACCAACTATCCCCTGCTTCTCAGTGGGTAGGTCAAAACCCACTGAGTAGTCACAAAAGGCAAGTGGGAGCTCGGGAGAAGGGACCGGGTCTTGAGGAATTTTTATTTTGTTATCCTTCCTGCTAAAGCAATCACATCTCTCTTCTCAGACTCTTACCCTCCTAGGTCATGTTTTCCCTGTCAAACTATGAAGTACACACACCATAAAATCATATAGGCTTCTTGATATCTTTTTTATTTATTTTTCTTTTTTTCCTAAAGAAGTGACATGAAAGTATGAATAAATAGTATATGAAAATATTTGCCACTGCATAAACGGTTGATCAGTCTGACAATAATCTAGGCAGCTATTGGGTCTCCAGGGGAGACAAACCTGTCTCACACCTTGAGCCACTTGTAGCACAAGTTTGCATTGATCCCAAAGCCTGCTCTGAAAACTGAGGCTTGATACATCTCTAGCCTTTGCAGGAAGTCAGAGTAAAACCAAAGGCTTCTGTCTAAAATCTCAGCTGTTTTTGCTGTGGATGGCGTTCTGGTGGCGAAGCAGTGTTTAGTGAAGATTTGGGCTTCAGATAAAAGGCTCAAGAAAATGTTTTGCAAGAGCAAAGCCCGATTTCAGTGTCTAAAGCATCAAGCATATTGTGATAGGTCATCAAGCATTATTAATGTATGTATCCTGGAGCCCTAAAGAGGAGGGTCCAGCCAAAGGTTCATGGGTTCAGGCAGGATGTGCTGCTTTGTCATGCCAAAATACAGTCAACAGGATGTGGGGAGAGCTCCAACCTGTGTGTAAGGGCTACCAAAGGGTCACGGTGAAAGGAAAGTTGCTGCTTCTATACATGGAATACAGACTGCCTCCCTCCAAACAGGCTTCACCTAAGCTTCTTGCTTTAAAATCTTGGGCAAAGGGGTAAAGCCAAAGTTCGGAGAGCAGTATGTTGTTAAGTTAAAAACAGAATATTCTGAGGTCATCTGAGAAGCAACAGAATCTGTAGCATGGCAGAACAAAGGGTGAGACTTTGCTGAGAACACCCATTATTGTGCTTCTGCAAAATGTAGAGGTATTCAGTGAATATCAGCACCCATTTCTGTATCTCATGCGTGTGAAGTACGGGCCAGTTTTCTGGTGAATGGCCTCCTCCTCTGGAAGAAATGCCCCCTTCCTCTGAAAACTGAGAAGACAGAATTAGAGTAAATCAAATCCAACGTGAGCCTAGCCATAGTGGTTAGTTGCAACTACCTTCTTTCTAAAATATTTCTATTGCAGATGTTCCTGATAGGTCCCTAAGTTATAGTGCCAGGCCTCTTTCCTAAGTGCTTGCGAGTACCGAGTACATGGAAACCTGAGGTGAGTCAGGGGATCCTTCTGAAATCTTGGAGCCAGAACTGCTGCAGCAGGGAGCTCCTGGAGAGCAACTGAGTGGCAGAATTACTGCCTCACAGGAACAGCGTCCGCTGCACTACCCAAATGCTCCCCGAAGTCAGTCAGTGGTGTTTGACCCGGTGTCACACGTTGCCTGTTGAGTGAGAAGGATAGAGCTGGTGGCGTGGCCACTGCCAACTCCTAGTTCTGTTGTTTACAATTTCTTTAGACTTTTGATTTAAGTAGCTTCTTAACTCTGGCAAGGACCGTATCAGCAGGACTGGGCGTCCCTGGGCACCCTTCCTAAAAAGGGTTCTGGTGTCTTTGACAGCTGCCAGCAAGCACAGTGAAGCTCTGTAGAAAAGCTGCAGTGTCTTATTTGTTCTTCTTCCTTAGGCTTTTTTTGACTGGGCAACCCTTTTATCTTCCAGCAATTTTAAGAGTATATTGCAAATGCTGTGCAGACAAAGTATCAGATAGGTTTTCTATCTACATACCTTACAGTGCTGTAACATGAATAAAAATTTAGTTCAGTCTCTTTGCCTAATACCAAATTACGTTATAACCTAGCCTCTGACACACTTAACAATTTCTGTGTACACGGGCCCCTTCTCCTCACTGTGCTACCTCACAGTTCAGGTAGCAGAGCAGTGGATAACCCACAGTCCCTTTGGCCAACTGCAGCTGGCCCACCTCTCTCTTCGGGGATCAGTCTTCCCAAAATTACTTACCACAGCTACTCTCAAGCATTTTATAGGCCTTCATCTGTATCTCTTAGTTTGCAGGTAGCTTATTCCGCTCTCACAAGGTTCATGGTACACGTTCTGACTGCACATATGTCCTAGTGTGGAAACAGTCACACTGCCAAATCCTCTGAATATTGTAAAATTCCGAGACCCAGTCCAAGTCTTAAAATAGAACTTGTCTGAGCAAACTTCCTGGGGTTTTTAGAACAGCTTTCTCATGTGTATGTTGGTGTATGAATGGAATCGCAGATTTCTGAAGTGTCAAGGGGGTGAATGTGTATATACCCAAATGAGAATATTATGAATGAGTCTCTTCAGAGAAGAACACTGATGAAAAGGACACTGTTAGCAAAAGCGACCACAGAAGTATGAGCAAATACTTGAAAGGAAGAACACCCAAAGGGAGTGGGTTCCCACTTTCTAGTGAACTGCATTATTTTCTTTTCTGAAGTCATGCTAAATAGGAAAGACTTTCCAGTTTTAGCTAAAAATGAAATAGTGTCTGTCCTCAGTAAAAGTTTTGGGTGTGAAGATAAGTGCCAGTGAAATGTACTTTTATGACAGAAGGACAAGGAGAACTCTCTTAGGAGGGAAGTAAGCTAAAAAAAAATTAAGCTCTTATCTGTTTTCTGTGATTACATTGCATCCATGTCTCACAATTTTTAACGTATTTACCATTACAGCACCCTTAGGATACATGGCTGTGCTAGTCTTTCCATTCAGAAGATGAAGAAATGAGACATAGAGGGTAAGTGGTCTGCCCAAGATTCTCTAAAAATTTATTCGTGTCCTGTATTTCAGGCTATTGTCCTCTCATACCATTCTTTTGCTCTCATTTAGTCCCTGCATGTACAATATGAATAGATGGTGGGTCACTAGGGACAGTGCCCTCTGTAGTAATGCAGCTCCCTCCTTTCTTCACACCAGAAACTTCCGCTAACTTCAGATTTTGTTTTCTTGCAGACGTTGTTGGTAGCTCTCATGCTTTTGCTTATCTGGATTCCTCAGGTCTCTCAAATCAGACTAAAGATCTTTTATCTTTTCTTTCATGAAGTCTTTTGTATCCACCTGCAGTCAGAACCTAAGCTAGGAGACTTGCACAAAAATGGAAAACCCAGCAGAAAGCCAACTGGATTTTTCTAAAGCCTGTCTGAAGTATCAGGAACAAAAAAGAAGCAATTACTTCATTATTTAAACTAGCCCAGCTTTGTCAGTCCCAGCTAGAGTCTGTTCTCCATCAAGTCAGCTTCCAAATTACTCCTGATAAAGAATTGTTAAGACAGAACAGAGTGAAATATGCCTAGCTTTGTATTAGCCTACAGGCTAATCTCTGCTCTTGCTGCAGTGACCCTGTAGAGTGTTGAGTCACTTTTTAAAGGTACCGTGTGTCCTGGATTTTCCTCTGTTCCACAAGAGCTTGTGTCGCTCCTTGTGCCATCAGTTCTGTCGGGGCACTGCTGGCTACTACAGTTGAAGGCTGAGTAGACATCTTCTTAAATATTCAGGCCTCTCTGGCAGGAAAATCACACCACAGACTTCAGAAATCCCCATCTGAGATATAAGGAAGTACTGTGATTACTCCATGAGCTTTCTCAGAAACCTGGGTAATGGGTGTGGTAGGTTTGCATTGCTCATTTTGCATTTTGAAGTCTATTCTCTCTAGGAAGAGTGAGAAACTTAAGGTCTGCCTTTCAGAAGTGTTGAACGCTTATGTGTGTGTGGGGGGGGGGGGGGTTGCAGGTGCTAACAGTGCTAACAACAAAGCATGTGATTCACTCTGGCATTCCTCACCATCCCAAATGGAAGGCAGGGAGCATGGGCCTCAGGCTTTGCTTTTTGGAGAGCACTTGGAGTAAATTCATGAACATGAGGATCTTGAGGAAAAGTAGTTATAGTCGAGATACGTTGTTCATGTCTCTTATTTCTTACCTTTAATTCTCTCTCACCTTTTTTTTTTTTCCCTTATTCCTATTAAATTCTCTGGCTTTATTGTTTTGAAGCAAACATATCAAAATGGTCCATTCCAAAGTTTTTCCCAGATCACTGATGAAACCTCAGTATCTTACAGTTCTCTCACAAAAGTTTGCATGTGTTTTAAAATACTTTTCCTTCTCCCTGTTCTCCCTGCCCCATTTCGGGCATTCCTTCTTCACCTGGGCTAGGCCAGAATTCTTTCATTGGTTTTCCCATTTCTCTTCATTTGCAAGTCCTCATCAGAAATGCTAGTCCATGTGGTTATCTGAAATGTGTTAGTAACACCCAGTGAAATGGCTGATGAATTCCTTCCTACTCCTATCCTGAACAGGCTGACATCATTCAAAAACATTGGCACCGAGTTGACACCTCTAGTTGAATCTTCAGTACCTTCTCCTCCCTATAAAAGTGATACTGCAGAACAGAACAAGTGCAGACTGGTGGTACAGTAAGTGGACACCTTGCACTGTTAATTATTTCTGAGGATAAACAGAAAACTTTCATTTCCAAGGTAGTAAGAATGTATGTTGTACTACAAAACAGAGCAAACAGACTTGACAGCTTATCCTTTGTCCCTTCTTGATGGTTAATTCAGTGTATTAATACAAGACAGAGGATGCACTACCCAAACCTGAATTTTCTTCCCAGTACTGCCCATGACATGAAGTGCCTCAATTCCTCCATCTTTACACAGAAGATGATAGAATGCACGTATCGTTATAGAGTACTTTGAGCTTCACTGTTACAAGGTACCATAAGTACTAAAGATCTATGTTTCAATATCACATATAATCACAATGCTGAAATTCCATTGCCAATTCAATTTTCAGAAATGGCGTCAATAGACGTGGTTTGAAATACTTTGCTTTGCTTTGCCAACAGGAAAAAGTTACAGAGTCTGGAAACATTCCTGATGCAAAAAAAAGGAAAACAAAAAACCACTGCCACATCAAATTCTGTTGTGTTGTACCAGGATTCTCTATTTGCTCCACTGCTTTCCATCACATTACACACAGGCTTGAGGCAGCCTGACAGTGCTGTTCTTGTACTGTGGAAGCTTGCAAGAAGCATGCAGGTGCTCAACCCAGCGCAGTGGCTCCTTTGCATGAGGCTGTGAATGGATAAAGAGTAAGATATTCTAAACAGCATTGTATCATTTGGGACACACTAAATAAAGAGTGAAGCCTTCTTTGATACTTACTGATGTTTACATACCATGTAATTATTATTATCATTGAAAATCCCAATTTCCTTTCTTTGAACATAATGTCTAAACAGGAAAAAGCTAACCTTCCTGTTGGGAGGACTGTTAGTTTCAGAAGGAATATATTTTTCTCTCTTGCAGTTTTCAAAGATTTTATTTTTAATACAAATGGAAAAGACAAACAATGGGCTATCTAAAAGGAAGGAAAACCACATGTCTGAAACAAACAGTCTGCTATGAATAGATAGTCTTTACACTATGAAATAACTCATGTCATACCTGTACTGACTTTTGCATATTGAGAAAGGAAATGTAGACTTATTTTTGGCAACCATTATGCTGTATGTATTGAATACAAAAAGCAAAGGTGAGGTAGCAAGGGAAGACAAGCCTCCTGTGAATCTCTGTGCAAACAGCAAGAGAGAATCACTGAAGAGCTGAATAGGCCCAACAGTAGCTGTGATACAAGGTTGACTAAAAGGGCTGAATTTAAAATTTCTGGTACCTGCTTTGCATCCAGACACTGTTCGCTGTGGTTGGTGTCTGTGCTTACAGTGGCCTCCTGGGTAAACCTCACCTCCTAAACTTGGCTTTTTTAGCTCTTGTTCAGTTGAAGAGAATACTCGTGGGGCAGCATCTGCAGTTCTGATCTTGGTACATGGATCTTTTATGTCTGCCAGAAGCAGGAAAGTGAAGCTGACGACCAAGATGCTCAGCTCTTCTCTACAAGAAGCAAAACAGCAAAAGGGTAGCTAAAAGTGGTGTAGGCAAAAGCTCTTATACCCAAAAGCCGAATGAGCTGTTTGGCATCCCAAAGGTGTCTGCTACATTCTCCGAGACTGATGAGCAGCCTAAAGGAACAACTTCCAGCAAAGGCCTTGCAGAGGCTATGGATTGTAAATTTGTCCATGTAGGGAGACTTCTTATTGTCACTTCTCCTTCAAGTTATTTCTTTGCACACAAGGCCATAGTTTTGCTAAGCCTGTTTATCAGCAAGTACTACAAAATCTTCCAAGAATGAAGGAGGATGTATGTGATGGAAGGCAATTGCCCAGAGCAGGCTAAGAAGCTGGGGAGGCCAGCCAGTCTTTTCTTCACCAGCTTTTTAAAGCTGTTCCTTACTCAAGGCCTGACTAATTTTGCCATGCTTCACAGTTCAAGCAGAAGTCCTGAAATCCTTGGACTATTTCTTAAAGCCTTGGCTCTTGGATTCATGCATTGAATGATTTTGCACCTTCTTACGATCATTCAGAAAGCATAAAAATGTGATTTAACAGGGTCAAACACCAGACACTTGTCATTGTTTTCTAAACTTTTGCTTTTTACACCACTTTTCTGCTTTTGGAAGCCATATTCCGCACAACTGCATGCTTGCTGTTGGCAGTACTACATAATGCAAAGAAACTTTGCAAATATTTGCTAGCGCTAGTCCTGTTTGAAGTTAATCTGCTTACCATATTAGTGCATTATGTTTGATCATGTTTGCAGAATCAGACCCTAAAGATGTATCTTGTTGTCTTCTTTGCTTGCTCCAAGACTCTCCTTCTCATGGAGTGGAAATCCCCTTTCTACGGCAAAAATGTACCCTTCCTAACTTTGGTGATCTTCCCAAAATTTGGATGTGCTGTTTCTCAACTTGCAGTGCCCTCACCGCTCACCCCTGCCACTCACTTGTGTATTGCTCTTTGTTTGTAGGGCAAAGTATTTTGCCAGGTGGGTCTTGCTTTGTGATTTAACTGGACTGCTGGTATTCACAGGTCCAGCAAGAAAAGAACATGTTAAAGCCATTGGAAAATAATCAGCACCCTATGAAAAGGAAAAGGTGGGATATAATAATCTGAAACCCAGATGCTCCCTGGCAGTGAGAGGTAGGAGAGCTGTCATGCTGAAAAAGACCCAGAAGTCAGCAAATAAGCTGAGTTAATAACGTGACACCAAAAAAAAAAAGGCAGTGAGATTCTGAGCAACATACATAGGAGCATCCCACTCTAGACAGGGAATTGTCTGTAGTCTTGTCTATGCTGGTGTTTTCCACACAGGGTAGTATAGCTATTGTGGTGAGTGCAATCATGAGTAGCACGTGTAAATTAACAACAAAGTTCCTGGTGGTAGATCTATGAGCATGCTGAACAGTCTCTAAGAGGAAGGATTAGCAAAAACATAATTGCTTGGCACAGTGAAAGTTGACCACACAAATACATCAAGACTGCCACATCCAGCTGACAGCCTGTATGATTTAGTAGAGGTAGATCTTTTGGAGGATTGCATAGTTAGCAATCTGAGAGCAAAATATAACTGTCTGATACTTTGCTGAGTCTAGTATGCATATCGGATGGACAGAGACAAGAAGCCTCGTTTCAGGGTAATACATGCAGGCATACTGTTGTTGACGTCTGTTGTTTCCCTCTGTAGGAATATGTTTGGAGGCTCTGCGTTCTGGTCCTGCGCACCTGGATTTCTTGTAAGAGCCTGTATAACCCTGTGGACTCTGGACAGGTTTGCTAGCTGTAACTGTTGAACAGCACTACTTGCTTTAACCAGGTACTGTTTATAAAATATGATGAAATGGTGGGGGCAGGCTCTTACTATTAAATATCTCAGCTGATACCATGTGGCACTGAGTCACTGCCCTCTGAATATTCCCTGTGCTGCTACTCCAAATAAATTCACCAGCTTCCATCTTAATAGCTTACTTCAGAGCCAGTGTCACACTTCACACCCTATTCTGGACACTCTCCAACAAGTTAATGTCTTTCACTGAGGAAGGTGAGTAAAAATGATGAGAGTATTCTTAACTAAAGAGCCATAAAATTCTAATAGAGCAGTAATGTTCCCAGTGAGCCTAAAGGGAATCTGATCAATAGTTATGAGGCTGAGGCTCGATTTATGGCCTTACTTCATCAAGCATAGTCATTCTCCGTTTTTGTACAGGACACTTTTGTGGTTTGTGCAGAGCAGAGCAGTATAAAGTCTGCAAGCCCCTTCTCGACAATTCCCTCAGGCTTTGTCATTTAAGAAGAAGAAGTGACTCCATAGAAGTGCTGATATGACCTATTCAAAGACAATTTTTCATTGTATAGGACGGACTGCACCAACTGTATTTGCTCTGAGAGTCTAAAGCTTGGAGTGGTTTCACAGTGAGTAAAAAAGAAAGTTATTTCAGATAGTCTTAAAACTTCCCATTGAAGACATTCACATGCCTATGAACCACTCCACAATCAGGAATAGTCCAGTAGCATGCTCTCCAAAAATCCCTTTTTGCCTTTTGCCCACCCTTTATGGTAGAATTTGCAAAGGGCCAGATGGGAGCTGCTTCTACTGGCTCTAAGCTGCTCTGTGGTAGAAGGACGTTTTTCCCCAGCGCTGCCTAACACACTTTTGATCTTCTTAAGCTTCCAAAGTGGTATATAAGGACTGAGGCAGAGGATGACATTTCATCCAACAGCTTTATTTTCTCAGGAAGTTCTTATTAAAATCTTCATATAAAAAGATCAGCACTTCCCAAAGACTGAAGTAAATGCAAGTTTTATTTTAGCCATCTCCTGCCACTGGGATAAGCACGAAGTAGATGGAAATATTTCAGATGAAGCATCAAAGCCTTGGCAGAGCCATCTCAGTAACCGCTGCATCTGCTTCTTCAGTACTTCCTGCATACGTAGGTTAGCTGAAGTAAGTTTTAAGTATCTAAAGTGATAGGAGTGCCTTAAAATACAAAGTAAGGTCCTAACTGGAGAGGGCTCTCAGGCAACACTTGAGCAAAAACGTTCTGACTAGGACACTCATTCAAATGTAATTTCTCAGGCACATTAAAAAAAAATCCCATCTCTTACACCATGTACAGCTCCATAGGTGCTGATAGCCGAGGCCTGCACATGATCTTGGTTGTACAGATTCATT